GGACGGGGGGGGACGGGGGGGGCCGGGGAGGGCTCTGCCGAGGCCGTCTCGCGTTGGCGCTGGGATTATATAGAGGTCATATGTCAGTTCCCGTAAATGGTGGCACTCAATGCCGACCCACAAACGCTACACTATCATATTCATCTACAATCCTTAGTATGGGGTCCCCCCAAAAGCTGACTCCTACTTGTCTGTCTGACTCCTTTTCATGCGGCACGATGTTACACTTTGGCTGCTAGCCCTGTAGCTTCACTTCGGCTAATTAATCCGCTCCCCAAGCAATAATCACCCCCCCCCAAAAAACTGTGCCATTGCAATTAAGGGGAAGTTTCATTATGCGAGAGGTTGGGTGGTTTGATGTGAGGAAGGGATCAGTCTTAGTCTTAGACATGCAAATGCAGGTATGCTGCCACCCGTCACCCCTGTACAACGTCTGGGGTCACGGCCTTCGTGAGATGTTCAGAAAACTGCAGCGGCGTTGAATCGTGTGCGTGGTGCGCATGAAAGAAGCACATACATCAGCAACTGGTGCTTAAGAGAATAGGTACCATTATGGGGGTATGCATGGGAATTATATAGGGACCTCCGCCGGAATAACTGATGATCATCGCAGAAAGAACACACGAAATTTGGAACCCAGGATCATGAAACCGGAATTCCAAGGAAGACAGATCAGCTCTTGGGATGCGAATGGTGCTGTCAGGACAATGAGATGAATGAGGCCATGAGATACTGCTGAAGCATTATAACAGTAGAGTGCTACCGTACTATAACAAGAGCAATGATACTTATCTGTAGTACTATAAAAACATCTTTACTATGGTGCTATAGTAAGATATTACTATGGCACCAAAAAACCTAAATTGTTGCTATCGTGCTGTAACAACATATTCCTATAGTACTATAACGATCAAAGAACATAACATACCGTAATGTCGTCTGATCTTGAACTACCACATGGCTGGCGAACCTCGCGCAAGGCCTCGAAGCGCCGTACGTGGCCCGATGAACTTGCTCCATTAGCCTACAGGGTTTGAGGCTTAGGGTTTTAACAGTGTGGCTCAAGATTCCCGCCCCCCCCCCCCTCCCCCCCCGGCTGCATTTTTTGGGATCCTCCTTAGATAGAATCCCCCTCATGTGCGGCACAAAAGAACTGGAACTGGAACTTGCCCCGTAATCCAGCAATTCAATAGAGCGCGGAGTGGACCAGGGCCCACCCTCCGATTCAAGCTGACCGCAGGATACATGGAAGCCCTTCTTGCCGGGGCCGGCAACAAAGAACTGAGACATACAAGACACATTTGCAAGAGCCGTCTAATCAACACGGCCGGTTTTGCTGAATGATCAAACGACCCTCTCCGAACTCGCTCTACGTGACTGTTCAAAATACTCAGGGCACCCAATAATAATAATATGTAAGAATAGTATTAATAATCGCAATCATTGATAACAGTAGTACTCATGGTAGTAAAAGTATTACCCAGGATCAACTTGAAGCTTGGAGAAAGCTGCCTCTGAAAGCGCTCGGTCAAGCACTAGGCAGAGGAGCACGAAGCAAAGAACACGCACCACGTCTCGGTGGAACCTGGCTCTCCACAGCATTTGAGCTAAGTCCAAACTCCTCAAAGGGGGTGGTCTCGGGCGTTATATCGGGGACTATTAGGGGTTATTAAGGAGGATACGAGGAGCTGAAGCAATGAAGGAACAGCATATGGGCGGTATTGTAAAGGCTCCGATTGGGACTTGTAGTTTTGAGGTTCCTTGTCCCCTATCCCCACTCACAAGCGATAAGTTTACCATCATCACACTCAAAATTAGCATAATAGTTACGCGGCGTAGGAAGAGTTGTGTTGCTATAGCGATTTGGAAGCAATCCCGTATGGAGCATTCTGGGAATCATAATGGTGACAATCAAGGTGAATGAATGCAACTCCGAACAAGTCTGACGCTCGTTGTATGTCCAAGAACGTACTGGATCACACACAGCTGTCAAAAAAGAAACTTGCAGTCTTAGAGTATAGCTGGCCTTGCTCAACGTCTCTAGTGACTCTTGTGACGGCCATAGTCAATTTGGAAATAAGGAACCCAATAATATAGTATGAACATCACAGGCAATGAGGACCTAGGCTTGTATATTCCTCTTGTTCCTACTATATTCTTGGGCGTCCTGCCTGTTTGGGGTCCCATGAAAGTCCTTTTAATCTAGGAATAGCTCGC